GGTTGCTAAAAGAACATAAAAACAAGGACTTATTAAAATCTATTATTATTAATAAATGTAGATACATATAATTTAGTATTTGTACCTATGTAGGTTTAAAAAATAATGATTCTTAAGTAATTTCGTTAATAAATAGTAAGTAGTTGATAAATTATCCAAATGAATTTTTAAAAATTCATTGCTAAAAATAGCTGTTTCTTAAAGTATATAATATGTATAATGTATATACACACATACATTCAAAGCATATGCGAGAAACAGCTGGAATATTCTCGACCGTTGTAGTTTATGTATATAAACGAGTTCAGCCGACAGCTGGCGCAGTCAATTGAAACACTCGAAGCGGTAAAGCGACTACGAACGGCAACGCAGTAAAGCGTACACAAAGCGAATATTCAAGGCGATTTTGTAAAGTTAGTGCAGCTGATTGTTGGTGTTAACGAATCTACGGAAAAATGTCTCTATTGTTGTGGGATCCATTCAGACCATCTCGCGTCCTGGACCAACAGTTTGGTTTAGGTTTAGATCCTGAAGATCTGTTGGCGCCTTTGGAAAGAAGTCTATTCAGATGCCCTGCTGGTTACCTACGGCACTGGAGGACACCATCCGCTGCTAGCGATACCGGGTCAGTGGTAACAGCCGACAAAGATAAGTTCCAAGTAAATTTGGACGTACAGCACTTCAAACCAGAAGAAATTAAGGTAACAGCGTCTGGCAACACCCTGACCATCGAGGGTAAACACGAAGAGAAGCCAGACGAACATGGTTATATCTCCAGACATTTCGTAAGGAGGTATGTACTACCAGAAGGGCACGACATGAACCAAGTGCAGTCCAACCTCTCCTCTGATGGTGTTTTGAGTATCACGGCGCCTAGGAAATCTTTGGAGGGCAAGGAAGAGAAAAGCATTCCAATTCAGCAAACTGGACAACCTAGCAAACCCATTGAAAATAAGGAGAAAAAATAATCTGATTTGAAGATATTTTCTTTTTGAGACTGAATTTTTGATTTGTAATATAGATGTTTGTAAGGATTTTGTGATCACCAGTACTTTGTATTTGTATGCCTTTTACTGTTAAGTTTTTTTAGATAGTACAATGAAAATAGCAACAGTCTACCACATTCTCAAATTCGTTCTTATGTTGGATGTATGTTAAGATAATAAAGTTCCTTTCATACTAAGATGCGTTTTATTTCTATTCATGAAGAAATGTAATTCGAGTTATGAAAAGTGATAAAAATGTTTAGAAAAATGTTTGAAATTTAAAGGAAACAAGTTTTCAGCCGTAACTAGATTTAAGACGTCTCTGCAAATTGATTAGCATTTGTCACTTTATTATTAAAGGTCGGCCCAGTCTGTTGTAATTCTATGTACATGGTACGCAAAACAAAAATATTCAAGTGTGGACAAAAATTACTTTTATCCGACAAAAAAATCTATTTCTGGTCACCTGGTAAATATAGCCAGGATAAGATAGACGGAACCTCACGACCACATACCAAATCAATACGCGGTTAGTATGTGGAAAGTATGGTGTTATTGTTTATAAATAAAAAAATTTTAACAGTGAAAAGTTTCAGTACCGTGAATTGTAGTAATCGCAGTGGCTCGTTAAATCGACAAATAGTTGACCGTGTCGTGTTCTCCAAAAACTGTCATAAAAATCATTTCATTAGCAATATGGCCATCGTGACTAACGATCCGCAAATAGCCGCTCTAAGTGAACGACTGGCTCCATCTCTTACTGAGAGCAAGTATAAAGGGCAAGCTGGTAAAATAGGAATATTCGGCGGCTCATTGGAATATACCGGAGCGCCGTATTTTGCCGCCATAACTGCTTTGAAAGTTGGTGCTGATTTGGCTCATGTTTTTTGCATGAAAGAGGCTGCAACGGTGATTAAATCGTACAGTCCGGAATTAATAGTACATCCATTATTGGACGATCCTAATGCCATTTCAAAAATTGAACCATGGTTGGAACGCTTTAATGCGGTATTGATAGGACCGGGCTTGGGACGGGAAGAATCAACTTTCAATGTTATCAAACAAATAATAAATATTTGTAGAAGATCACAAAAACCTTTGGTTATTGATGCTGATGGTTTATTTTTAATATCTAGACAACCAGAACTTATTCAAAATTATCCCCCGCCAGGAGTGATTTTAACTCCAAATCTAATGGAATTTGCACGACTCAATGGTGTGGACAATCCAAAAGCTATAACAGACCCAAATAAATTTTTCGAATGGGGGAAAACTATAACTTTGTTAGTGAAGGGACCGCAAGATCAGATAATGGATTCTGAAAAGAAAATCACGGTCAGCGGTGGTGGTTCAGGTAGGCGTTGCGGAGGGCAAGGAGATCTATTGGCAGGATCGCTAACTACTTTTTTCACTTGGACTTTGCAACAGCAAAGGAATCCGGGAGTTCCTCATGATGACAGAATAATGACAGCCTGTTATGCAGCTTGCAAGCTAGTGAGGGAGTGTAATGCAAGAGCATTTCAGAAGAAAGGCCGAAGCATGGTTGCATCCGATATGATCGACGAAATTCATGGTGTTTTCGAGGACAACTTCGAACTAAAGGCTACTGGAAATAAGTAATTTTCTACAGGAGCAACTCTAAAAATTTTGGCAACAGAAACCTAGAATGTTTTTTATACTATGAGATTGTTAAATTTATTGTGTAAAAACACTGACTAATTTTATTGTTGTAATCGGTAACATTTCAATAAATGAGAAACAGTGTTTGCAATATGAATTATTACTTATTAGGTGCTTTAAGAAAATTACAATTACAGGTATCGGCCCAACTAGAAAAATAATTATTAGAAATGGCACTAGTACGCAAATATGCGAAAATATGCAATGTAAGATACACATCAGGGGCGAATCGAGGATTTTGATTTTTCCTGCCTACGCGAATAATTTGATTTATTTATTTGGTCATTTTTTACATTAGTTGACATTGGAATTGAGACATGAAGTTTACTCAGGTAGGTAGTACTCACCATATAGAATCGTGTGGTAGTATTAATTCCATGCGGAAACCAATGTAGCTTGAGATACAGGCTCCTAAAGTTTTCTTAATTGGAGGAAATTCCGGTTGGTACGGGCCTGGCTGCAGCCCTTCGTCAGCTGTTCTCGCCAAATATGCATTGATGACGTCATTGTTTAGTTAGGTAGATGTATGACAGACTCGAGTTTGTTTAATGCCCCTGCCTGATACATTAGAATAATGTTAGGAAGATATGTTTTAGGACAAACGATGTTTGGCGGGAACAGCTGACGGAAGGCTGAAGCCAGGGCCGTACCTACGTCAGTGCGACAAGTTGAATAGTGCAAAATGGAAGTCACATTGATTTTTAAGCAAATAATAAACAAAATTCTACTAAATACTACTACACTACTTTACTTGGTGAGTACTACCTACCTCACTAAACTTCATGTCTCAATCCTAATGTCAACTAATGTAAAAAATTACCATTTATTTTAATTATCAACCATGCAGCATTTTTGATGTAAAGTATAAATAGCTGTTGTTCCCACGTGGTCTTAAATTAATATTATAGGTAATTTATTGTTCTAGTTATAGGTAGGCACTAGGGTTGCCACCTTTTCAGGCTTTACATGAAGTATTTCTTGACTAAAAGCTTAAAAAAAAAGTACTCGGCATAAAAATAAAGTATTTTATTTTTTGTTTTTAAGAACATATTTTTCGTTACACCTAGCAGCCAGTAACAAATTGCTGTCGCTCTTAAATACATTAATAGCCTCTAAACATGGCAAACAAACATTTAAGTAAACTAAAAGTTCATTTTTAATTAGTTTTAATAAAGCTTTATTCCTATCGTCCCACCACTTTGCGTTCATAACAGACAATACTCTTTCTGTAAATGCTGAAGTGGCCGGAGCGGACAGCAATAGTGAAACTACTTTGAACAGATTCGGGAAATCAGGTTGTTCCGTAAATATGCCTTGCCATTTTTCTGTGCAATATTATTGATGTAAAAATACTCTGAATTTCGAATAATCGCTTACAAAATTACGATGGTTACTTAAGATCTTAAATAAAGTATTTTTGCGTACTTTATGTGTCTTGTAAAATAAAACGTACGCACAGTCGAAATAGAGTACAATACTTTATAATAAAGTACGGGTGGCAACCCTAGTAGGCACCTTTGGTGCTGTACGCATTTGTGCATTGTAATTATAAATACATCGAGTACCATTTTCTGCATAAAAAGCTATTGGTTTTTGATAAAGTCATTCTTTAAAAATGCGAACTTCGATGTTAGTTTAATAAACCTCTAATTAATTGCTTATTCGTTATTAAAACATTCTTCAATCATGCCTAAACCCAGTCCTGTGACCGGTGATGGGATCGTTTTAATATTACAGTTAGCAGGACCAGGGGTTCATATGCCCAAATCTCTAATAATTCACGCCGCGCCGGTGTGTAATTTCAAAAAAGTAAACACACTTTTATTATTAAAAGTTACCGCGTTCTATTACCTGTAGAATGTTGCGTTGTTAGAATAATAAGGCGCATATAAAATTTAACATAGCATGTGCCAAGTTTATTAAACCCTTGTTACATCCCTACGGAACCACGCAGAGACTTAGGACACGTGCTGTTATTGATCGTACTTTCTTTACCCTTTAACAACAATTCAAATATAACAACCGGTTATTTTGAACTGTCTTCTCTCATGCTGTGAGAATTGAAATATAATTTTGTTGCTAATTATCCAATTGTAATATACAAAAGTACAAGTGGGGTTGTAACATTATTTATTTTTTAATGAAAATTAGTTTCTGCTTTTTATTACATTCAGGTAACTTATTTTTCAAAGCTTTTAGAAATAAGAAATAATTTTAATTTTAACTGCGGACATTTGTTTATTTGTATGTTGTGCCAGTAAAGTTAATTTTGCATTATTATAAGTGATTACTAATTTTTGTAAAAACTGTACCATGTATTTGATGAACTTATGCAACCAAGCGTACTTCCTTGCTTGGAGGCTTGTATAAATTAGGCTACGTTTAACTAGGAGATAAAAATATAACAATTATTACTGTATTTTTCCTGTAAATATTGGACTTACAGAAAAAATTTATTACGACTACGTAATTGATATCGCAATATCGTACAGAGCAAAGATGTCTTAGGACCATCTTCATTAATTAAATTATACTATGCATATGTACAAAGCAGTAACTTTATGATTGTTTTGTGTAATTTAGAGTAATTTTATCGTCATCTACGTTCTACTAGTGTACAGTATCATATCAACATTACAAATAGTTATTCTTGGCTTTATTTATTTTTTTAATCAGGTACATGCAAGGCCAGTTGCATTACTTTAAAAGCCAGAAGATTGCGTACGTAGAAAGTGATTGAATATGTCCTATCGCTCTGAATTTTAAATAACTATCGCGCGATGTTTGTTTAAATTGAGTGTTAGCAGGTTTTTTTTTCAATAATTATAACCGCATGTTGCTGGAACAACTAGATAAATTATCTTCAACAGTGTCGTGATGAGCGTCGTAGACATAAAACCTTCGTATTTAGTTGCCACGACCGCTGGTGCTCTCGTGGTCGCCGGTATTTATTTATACAAAAAACAACAAGAAAATAAAATTCCGACGAAATGGAAACCGGTGGCCGAAGTGAAAAACATTTATCTCTATCCTCTTAAAAGTGGACAGGCTATTGGGATGAACGAAGCGGATTGCACTCCCCTTGGATTACAACAAACTGGAAATGAGAGTTTTAAGCTTCGCGACAGGTATGTGAAATATGTATGAACGTGAATATAGTTGCGACGTTCAAAATTGGCATAGTCAAAATCGCAATCGCGCAATCGTTGCTACAAGAATAACAAACAGGAAAACGTCTGTGGGTGCGAACCATACACATAGGGCTGATTTCACGCATGAGCGCTTTTTAGTTATTCTCAACTAGGTGTTTAAAAAAGGCATTTCATGACAGTCATATATTTTGTACCTTTTTAGTTATTCATAACTATTTGTACTATAATTATCATCATAATAGGGTCATCAATCCTAAGCGCCGGTGCACACTTGCGACAGTTTACCGCCGCGGGTCCGCAGCGGCACCGCAAAGTTTGCTGCACACTTGTTGGTATTTTTTGTGGTTTTATTGCGGTGCCGCAGAAGTAATAAAAATGTATATCTAATGCAGTGTCATTCGTTTTTAAAGAAAATCAGTCAGTGCGACAAGTTGAATAGTGCAAAATGGAAATTTTTATTAATGAAAGGCGTGCAGTTTTTACGTATTTGGTGTACAAATGCGTTATTGATCGAAAAAAAAAAACGAGACGATTTTGGGTAGACCCATATACCGATTTACGGCTTACGAGGGGCACATTTGTAACGTCGTTTTCGTATTTAAGGGAGAATCCTGACTAATTTTTCAACTACTTTCGAAGGAGTGTTGCTTCATCTCATGAATTAACAGCTAAAGTTTCTGATAGGATAAGATCGCAAAAGATACTAGATTAAGAGTCTCCATAATCCCACTAGAAATGTTTTCTCCTTGTCATCCAACTCCAAAAATTCATCGGAAAACATTTCACAGATTATAATCCATGCAGACCTGTTTTTGACTCTTTCATGGTATAGGTATATTTCTGAGGAAATATCCCATATCTCTGGGAACCAACCCCTTTACTGCATCAATGAATAATTCTATATCCAAATCTTCAGAAGTTCTAGTAGCAGCCATCCTTTTTTGCGTCAATTTGCCGCAAGTGTGTACCAGCCGATATACAAACGAGTACTACAAAACCGCAATAGCGGCAGCGGTGCCGCCACGGTTCCGTAGGGACCTGCGGTTCAAAACGGTCGCCATTTGGACGCGCGGCCCCGCGGCGGCGCGCAGATGAATGTGCATTAACCCATTTACCTGTTAGTACTTTAAGCCGCAATTGCGGTGCCGCAGCGGCGATTGCCGCAAGTGTGCACCGGCGCT